ACTGAGAGAGAAATAGGGCAAACAATTCCTTTCACAATAGCATCCAAGAGAAAAAAAAGAAATACCTAGGAATTAATCTAATGAAGGAAGTAAAAGACCTCTACTCTGAAAACTACAGCACTCTGAAAAAAGATATCAAAGAGGATATCAGAAAATGGAAAGACATTCCCTTTTCTTGGGTAGGAAAAACCAATATAGTGAAAATGGCCATACTTCCAAAACTGCTATATAGATTCATGGAATCCCAATTGAATCCCAACAGCATATTTCACAGAACTCAAGAAAACAATCCAAAAATTCATTTGGAACCAGAAGAAACCAGAAGAAAGAAATAGCAAAAGCAATTCTAAGCAATCAAGACTAGGCAGGGGGTATTACAATCCCTGACTTAAAACTATAATACAAAGCTACTGTGATAAAAACAACATGGTACTGGCAAAGAAACAGACCCAAGGATCAATGGAACAGATTAGAAGATTAGAAGAACAGATTAGAAGGACCAATGGAGGGCCAGGGATTTAGCTCAGTGGTTTCACCGCCTGTTGTGCAAGCACAAGAACCCAGGTTTGATCCCCGGTACAAAAAAAAAGAAGGACCAATGGAACAGATTAGAAAACAACTCCAGACATACTAAGCCACCTCATCTTTGACAAAGGAGCCAAACACCCTCACTGGAGAAAAGATATCCTCTTTAATAAATGATGCTAGAAAAACTGGGTTTCAACTCATCAAAGATTAAAACTAGACCCTGCACTAAACTAAAATTGAAATGGATCAAAGATCTGAATTTTAAAACATAAACACTAAACCTGCTAGAGAACAGGTTAGGTAGAACTCTTGAAGACACTAGTGTAGGGAAAGATTTTATGAACAAAACCTCGTTGAACTAGCACAAAGAATCAACAAGTGGGATCTCATCTTATTAAAAAGCTTCTGCACAGCAAAAGAAACAACCAACAGAGTGAAGAGACAACCCACAATGTGCAGAAAAATGTTTACCAGCTGCTCCTAAGACAAAGGTCTACTATCTAGAATCTAAAGAATTTTTTAAAATTAGATCCCCCAAATTTAAAGACCCAATCCAAAAATGGGCATCTGATGAAGAAGTAAAAACAGCAAATAGACATATGAAAAAATGTATGACATCACTGATCATTCAAGAGATGCAAATGAAAACAACACCGAGATTCCATCTCACTCCAGAAAGAATGGCTGCTATCAAGAAATCAACCAACAAATGCTGGCGTGGCTGTGGGGAAAGAGGAACCCTGTTCCACTGGTGGTGGGAGTGCAGACTGGTGCAATCACTGTGGAAATCAGTATGGAGATACCTCAAACAACTAGGACTGGAAGTCCCATTTGACCCAGCTATTCCCCTGCTGGGTATCTTTCCTAAAGAATTAAAAGAATCATAACACAGCGATATATGTGCACCCATGTTTATAGCGGCGCAGTTTGTAATAGCTAAAGCTTGGAAACAGTCCAATTGCCCATCAACTGGTGAGTGGATAAAGAAGTTGTGTTTTTTAAATAAATGGAGTACTACTCAGCCATAAAGAATGACAAACTAGAGACATTTATAGGTAAATGGGTGGACATTGAGACCATACTGTTAAGTGAAATAAATAGGACACACATGTGTAAATACCAAATAGTTTCTCTGGTGTGAAAAACTGCAAATGCAAATGAGAACCAAGATAATGTGAAGCAGGAAGAAGTTGTCCAAAGTGAAAGGGGAAGTTGAGGGTTAAGGGAAAAGAAAGAAGGGAAAGAAAAAAAGTATAAGAAAAGAAGGAAAAATAGAAACAAAGTTTTTTTGTAAGTAGGGAGGGCTGGAGGGGTAGAAGAGAGGGAGGGGAAAGGGGAGAAAAAAGAAGAATCAAGATATGCCACGTACAGGTACAAATTCCCAATGATGAATGTAATCATAATGTATGCCTAAAATGTACCAATGAACTTAGTAAACAATTACTTAAGGTCACATAGCAAGTTGGCTGTGAAAGTCACATAAAAACTTATGGACATCTCTGAGATCTTCCTAAGAGATTCTTCCCTCCATTCTCATGCAGGCAATAAACCTCTATTAAGAATCTTCTTTGCCGTCATCTCCATTTGCTGCTGAGATTCAAAGATGAAGATTACTCCTTAGCCTGTGTGTTCTGGAGGCTAATACTCTAGGGGTGGGGTGTGGACGTGTTTCTGGTGATTACACTAACTTGATAAGCACCATAATAGCGACATAGAGATTCTATGGAAACACAGAAATAATTGCATTTCCAGGATGACATCTTGGAAAAAGTGACATTTCACCTAAGTTTGTGGGATGAGTGGGTGGTCAGCAGGAGAAAACTGGGTACAGTCATTCCTCTGTACTCATGGGCTTCAAAACTCTTCAAATCCAGTACTTGCCACTGTTTCAGCACTCAGTGCTTGCATCACTCTCATGGCAACTCCTGAACAGTGGGGAAGGCTTACATATCCATCCTTACTGTCTTGTATTTCAGTGCCTTTTAAGTGCTAATCATGGATTGCAAAACAGTTAAGAGTGATGCCACTAACCAGTGATCCCCAGGGATCAGTTTTGTGGAAGACAATATTTCCAGTGACAGGGACTGGAGGTGAGGGTGGGGGTATGATTTCCGGATGATTCAACCTAAATCTCTCTTGTGCCAGCTCACAGCAGAGTTTCCGCTCCTATGGGAGTCTAATGCCATTGACGATCTGACAAGATGTGGAGCTCCGACAGTAATGCAAGCGACAGGGAGCAGCTGTAAGTACAGAAGAAGCTTCCCTTGCTTTCTACCCACATCCTGTTATGTGGCCTGGTTCTAACAGGCCACAGGCTGGTAACCGCCCATGCCAGAGGTTGAGGACCCCTGCACTAAGCCTAAAAGGCTAATATTAGCTCAGTGACAGGCTAATGTTAGCCCACTAAAATATAAACATTCTGAGGAACTTTCAAAAATGCTTTCTATTTACCCTATTTCTAGTTCTTTCTTTTTTTTTTACTTGTGATTCCGCTGATTTATTTTGAAAATTTGTACTACTTTACACTTGATGTTCACTGCTAGGTTCCTTTCATTCTTTCTATTTATTTCTTATGGGGGCAAATTTGTTCCATACTCAGGGGTTTCAGCCCTCGTCAACATTTCCAGAAGAAATTAATGGCGAGTAGCACGGTGTGAATGTAAATTAAGAAAGTGGCACATAATACGAGCAGTCATGTAGGAATGAGAGAGAAATCCTCCATCTTACAACATGCCTGAGCCCAGAGGGGAGAAAATGGCAGAAAGGCAGAAATATCAGATACCTCAGAAAAGCTTTCAAGGTGCAATCCTCTCCAGGAAATCTACAGAGAAAGCCATGGGAATATGGTCCATCTGGAACAATTGTCTTACCCTAAAAATTCTAAGGACCTCTGGGTCTAACCTGCCATCTTGTCTTGCATCAGTTTGGTCTTTTAAGTTGATTTCTGGTGTCAAGAAGAAAGTGAGAAGCCATCATGAGGCGGAAGGCTGGAGAAGCACAGCATTTCCTCTCCCTGATCTCCTGTGGAGGGTGTGGGGCAAAGCTGTGTATAACTAAGTGACACCCAGAGGTGCCATAATCAGAGACTGATGAGTGAGAAAACCAATCTAGTGAGCTCAAGAGGTAAGGGGAAGGTGGAAAAAAGACTCAGGAGCTGCCACTGCTTCCCCACAGATAAGCCTTGTGAGTGCCTCCATCTGAAGATCTTGGGGTCCCTTTGACTGAACCCATCTTTGTAAATCTAAAAGTCTCTTATCAAGGGATGCAAAGACTTTCATGAGTTCAACATGTGCTCCCTGTGGCCAGGGTGGTGAATGAATGGAGATCTCACTGCACATGGACAGAAGACTCAAAGGACCTCAAGGAACAGAGAAAGGTAAATAGCTTCTCCTCAGAGGCAAGGCATAATGTCAATGAAGGCAGGATAGGGTCACATCTCTTCAGTAAATGGATTTCCTTTCCCTTCAGCATCTATCTGTCTACACATGCACCGTGTTTGGGTTTTGTTCCCCTCCATCCAAGTTTGCTTCAGTCAGTCAAAGAGGGGACTTTCACTTAACTCCAGAGTTGGCACAGACCACCCGAGTGGTCTGTAAATTTTGAAAGACCCAAAATACGTATTATGGGGTGCCCAGCCAAAGTTATTGACCTTTATTTTTCTACATAAAGTCAGTGTTAGGAGCTCTACACTGCCTTTAATTATTCGATGCATTTAATTATCTGATGCATGCAGGGAATTATACAGCTCCCAATTTTAAATAAATACATCCTTTGACGGTTCATTTTATGTGTCTACTGGACTGGAACATGTCTAGATATTTAACAAAACATGGTTCTGGACGTTTCTGTGAAAGTGTTTTGGGTGAGATTAACGTTTAAATTGGTGGGTGTGGAGTAAAGCAGATTGCCCTCCATGAATGTAGGTGGGCCTCACCCAATCATTGGGTATTTCTATTTAAACAATACAAAGACTGATCTCCAGAGCAAAAAGGAATTCTGCTAGTGGGCAACCTTGAACTCTGCAGACACTGGACTTACCAAGTCTCTACAACTCTGTCCGCCCGTTTCTTAAAGACAATCAATCAATCAATCAGTCTCTTATAGTTTCTACTCACATACATGCAGAGTCACCCTAAATGCCTACTGTGTGTCAAGCCATATTCCTGGCTCTTTGCATCTACCTAATCCTCCCAAGCATTTTACAACCCAGCTGTTACTATCTTCATTGGATAGTAGCAATTTGAGAAAACTGAGGCTCAGAAATTCTACCTCACTTGATCAACAGTGTGCAGTTTATAAGAGAGTGAGGACGTGAACTCACATCTGCCTCCCTCTGAGGCTGCGCACAGTTCCCAACATGTTGCCAAGTAACCAGGCAAAATGAAGCTAATTGAGTGGCAGAACATGTGAAGGGAGAGGACCCACAAGTGAGGAGTCATCTTTCAATAACCATCACCGAGGACATCACTCACAATTAGAAAAGACAGGCTGCTGGAAGACACAGGACTCCCTGGCAGAGGCAAGCACAACCCAGATCCCTGGCTCTCTGTCTGTCTCTTCCAATTCCCCACACTGCTGAGATGAGCTTGAGCTGACTGGAAACGTGCCCTGGGGGAGAGAAAATCCATGGTTGACCCAAAGAAGGACAATTGAGTTTCACATTAGCTTCTCTCATGGCTTCATCATTGACTATCCTTTTTGTTAAAATATTTTAGCAAATAACCCAGACAGGTTTCTGGAATACCTAGGCCTTGGAGATTTTATTCTTAAATGCAGAACATTCCACCGAGATCAAGCTTAAATAACTGACTCATCAGAGGAAGTGCAGTCTCTGGGTAGTGCCAATGGATGTTGGCAGTTGAATCTCAGCTCTGCAATTTGAATTTGGGTGGACATGAATATGGGCAGTGCACCAGGTTGCTTCCCAGATCTCTACTGTCTAGTTTCAGAAACAAAGAAAAATAATCATTAGTCAGACCTACTTCCTCTGTCTTTCCCTTCCCTCACTGTGCCCTCTCCTTTTCCCTCTTCTCTGGCACACTTTGCCACCACATGACTGGAGAGCCTTCACCCAGGTTTGATAAGACCTGATCTGGATGATTCTTCTGCTTAGGAATAACCTGCTCAGAGAGGCTGCAGCTGAGGTCACAGGAGCATCTTTGGTTCTAGAGATAAGTATTGGATTATATGAGTATTTGCACACCCTCTCCCCTACTCTCTATTGTCTCAGATAATCCAGTATTGATCAACTGATTGTCCCCTTTTCTTTTATTAATTTGAACACTTATTCATTTATTTCCAGCATGGCCCAGATTTTCCAGTGATGTATTTGCATCCCATATGTAGCTCGGTGTTCTCCAACATTAATTCTGTTTTGTTTTTATTTCTCCCTTTGTATAGTCTTTAAGTAGTCCCTGATGGTGCATGCATGTGATTTCACATCACGGGAATGGTGTGTCCATGGCAGGGAAGCAATAGGGTGTATCATAAATCAACCACAATTTGAGGAAACGATGACAGGTGTGATTAATAGGCTATTTCAGCTCTAATTTCCATACAGTTATTCTCTGATTCACAATTACTCCTTGGAGAAATGAAAAGTAAAAGAAAGTACAGTGTGGGTGGTAGATTCCCTCCCTAGAAATTCACAATAGTCATCATAGCCATATAGGAAGGCAGATATTTATGCTTTGCAATACATGAATATTATCCATGGCAACTGGGAAATTGTCAGAACCAGAAGAAGTGAGTCACCTAAGTCTTGTTTTCCCTTTGCATGGCTAAAAAAAGACTAAATTTATAAAATGCTCAAGATAATCTGTGTCAGTGGTGGCCAACCACTAATCTGGAACATAATCCATGCCATTGGTGGCATAGGTGGTGAACCTATGGCATGCACACTGCAGCAGGCTGTTCGTCATCATTGAAAGCTCTAAAAGGTTTACCATCCCTGATCTGTGGTATAGTAAATCTCCTAAATAAATCTAAATTATCAATATATCAATTAAATAGACAGGTGTTGATGGTCAACTTTTATTTACATTAAGTAGAAGCTGAAAATGTGATCAGTTTTACCAAAGGACGCTTTCTATACAAATAAGGTTTTTGGCCCATCTGTCTTAGCTAGGGTGGATGACTTATCTTTCAAATTGAGATTTTTTTTCAAAAGTTAAAGGTATGCTTAGAATTATTATAGGCAACAGGGGAAGATCTTGGCTAACTGGAACATATGGCGAGCATTATCACATTCATGGTGATCACTTTATCTTGTCTGCTTCATTACTAGATCCTTAGATACAGGGATCAAAATGTCTCAGTTGCCTTTGCCCATTTTATTCTCTTCTAGGGGCAAAAATTATGTTTGTATTGAATGAATGACACATTGATATTTGAATCAAATCCATCAAGGCATTTGGTAGAAGGTAAGAATTCAGTAAATCATATTAATACACACATTTTAAACACAAAAATTAGTAGAACCTATTATGGTTTAGAGGATTGACGTATTTTGAAGGACATATTCAATTTTTCACTATTATTTTTTCACTCTGTCCCTTTTTGTGTTTTTCAAATGCAATCTTACCTAGAATCTTAATGAATGAAAGATATAAAAGCAACTAAGTATGTGCCACTTGGCAGAAACCCACTCAGAATTTGTAGTACCCCCAGGCTGGGGATTTAGCTCAGTGGTGCCATGCATGCCTCATAAGTGCAAGTTCTATCCCTGGTACCAAAAAAGGAAAAAAAAAAACGAATTTGTAGTATCCCTAAAGGACAATTTTAGAATTAAATGCTTCATTGGGAGCAAAAGTCAACACTACAACTCTAAATAAGTTGGATGAAAAACTTAACATTTTAGCTAAGTATCCCTGGTAGAAAAAAAAAATCCCAGTATTTTCTGGAAGTCCAGAAGTGCATTAAGGAAGAGTTAAGAAGAAACATTTGGCATTCACCAGGCTTTTGTTTTCTTTAAAAATGTGAGGCATATGATGTAGCAAGTTGAGTCCTCAGTGATCCCCGACTAAATATCAGAGGCAGAACAGAGAAGAAAGAGACCACAGCTCATTGTGGCATGTACCATTAGGCTTTTCAGTCCCAAAAAGTATTGAGTGGAAAATGAAGTTTTCTGAATGAGCTCTGTAATACTCCTCTTAAACATCTTCTCTCTGGTCTGCCAAGTGCTGGCTCTGATTCCTTAGACCTATGTGGCTCTTTAAAATATTTTCTGAAATGTAAATAGGTTATTTCATTTCATTATGATTCCAGAAGATTTCATAGCATGTTTCTATAAGGACTGTGAGGGTTGGAGCGAAGATTTGGCTTCATTGACTCCTTCTAGAAGCATCTTTCCATGTTCCATAAAGCCAGAGTTTCTTCACCAGGCCTGTGCCAATGTCACAGAAAGGCTGTGCCCAGAAACATGCCAGGCCCAACACTCAAAAGAAGCAGTTGGCCTAGCTGAGCCACAGTGGGGCTTCTCTCCCCATCCCACACGACCCTTCTGCCTCAGCAGGTCTTAGAACACCCATGTATCCGTTGCTGCTTAACAAATGACCACACGGAGAACAGCTTCAAACCACATGCTCTTGTTATGTCACAATTCTTGCAGATCAGGAGTTCAGGCACAGCTGGGCTCAGCCTCTGCTGCAGGGCCTAGCACAGGCGGCCATGTGGGTGCTAGTCAGGGCTGGGATCTCATCTGAAATTTCCATCTCAGAAGCACTGGCTTTCCAGTCATGTGGCTGTTGGCAGAGTTCAGTTCCTGGAGGAGTGTTGGACTGATGGTCTCAGCTCTAGCTGGCTCTAGCCAGAGGTGGTCCTCAGTTCTTTGCTGGGTGTCCTCTCCACTAAGGCAGCTTCCAACACTGCATCTCACTTCATCAGAGAGAGGGTGAGAGGAGCCAGAGAGGGGGAGAGGATGCAGGATGGAAGTCACAGTCCTTTATAACCTGACCTTGGAAGTGACGTCCCATCATCCTCTCCATATCCTGTTGGACAGAAGCAGATCATAGGTCCTTCCTACACTTAATGGAAGAGGGTGACACAGGGTGTGAGCACCAGCAGGAGGGGTCACCAGAGCCATCTCCAAATGCACGTGCCACAGTCATACTTTCCTGTTAGGGATTCACCGGGAGCAAGGGAAGACCAGAGACCAATACCTGTCCAAATGAGTCACTCAGTCCCGAATCTCTGACCTGCTCTCCAAGCTGCTCACACACCATGGCTCCTCCGAAAGACTTTTTGTGTCTTTTGTGAACACACCATATCTTCCAAGCCTTCCCACTTTCATGCCTGCTCCTTGGTGCCTAGGAGCGGCTCTATCTGCAAGTGGCTCCTTCTCAACTTTCAGGCCCTGTTTTAAAGCCATCTCTTCTCTGAGGTCAACCCTGAATACTATTGCACACGTTTTTCTTTTCTCTTTTTCTTTAAATTCTTTTATTGGTACATTTTAGGTATACAATACATTTACATTTATCATTGGGTGCTTGTACCTGTACATGATGTATCTTGGTGCTTATTTTTTCCCCATTACCTGTGCGCCCTTCACCCCCTCCACCCTTCCCTATTTACATAGATTTCATTTCCATTTTTTTCCTTTTCCCATAATTTTTCCTTTCCCTTCTTTCCTTTCCCCTTCCCCTCCCACCACCCCTACCCCTTTGGACCTTTTCCTATTTCAAATGATCAATTATTCATTTTAATCATTTTCATCCTTATTTACACTTTCAGTTTCTCACATTAGAGAAACTATTTGGTGTTTACACATGTGTGTTCTATTTATTTCTCTTAAGAGTATGGCCTCAATATGCATCCATTTAGCTATAAATGTCTCTAGTTTCTCGTTCTTTACGGCTGAGTAGTACTCGATTTTATACACTTGATCTTAGCCAAAAGGCCAAGAAGTGATAGTACTTGATTTTATTTAAAAAACCACATCTTCCTTATCCAGTTTCCAGTTGATGGGCATTTGGGCTGTTTCCAAGCTTTAGCTATTACAAACTGTGCCGCTATAAACATGGGTGCACATATATCGCTGTGGTATGATTCTTTTAATTCTTTGGGGAAGATCCCCAGCAGGGGAATAGCTGGATCAAATGGGACCTCTAGTCCTAGTTCTTTGAGGTATCTCCATACTGATTTCCACAGTGGTTGCACCAGTCTGCACTCCCACCAACAATGGGGAAGGGTTCCTTTCTCCCCACACCCCTGCCAGCATTTGTTATTGGTTGATTTCTTGATAGCACCCAGTCTTTGTGGGGTGAGATGGAATCTCAGTGTTGTTTTCATCTGCATCTCTCAAATGACCAATGATGTTGAACATTTTTTCATGTATTTATTTGCTGCTTTTACTTCTTTGAGAAATGTCTGTTCATTTCAGATGCTCATTTTTGAATTGAGTCTTTGAATTTGGGGGGTCTGATTTTTTTCAATTCTTTATATATTCTAGATAGTGGACCTTTGTTTGAGGTACTTCTCTTTTCTTTTCTTTGTTTTGGTACTAAGGATTGAATCCAGGGCCTTTGAACTAAGCTACATTCCCATGCCTTTTTCCAGTTTTTTTAAATTTTGAGACAGGGTCTTGCTAAGTCACTAAATTGCCCAGGCTG